CAGGCTCAGGCACGGGGGTCTTGAGATCTTGGGATCCATCTGTCCCAGGGCCCCAATCCTGTATCACATGGACCAGCCCTGTGTGTCCCAGTTTCTGAGGGAAGTCTCAGGAGTCAGGAGATCTTGAGGGTCTCAGCCACGGGTCCCTCCCTAGGTCTACTTTCCCTACCTGCTCATCAGCAAGAAGCGGTACGCTGGCCTGCTTTTCTCCTCCCGGCCAGACGCTCACGACCGCATGGACTGCAAGGGTCTGGAGGCTGTGCGTCGGGACAACTGCCCCCTCGTGGCCAACCTCGTCACCGCCTCCCTGCGCCGCCTGCTCATCGACCGGTGGGTGGGAACCTCCCCTCAGCCCCGGAGGCCATGCCCCAGCCCCTCTCCCTCAGACCCAGGAGCCCCCAGCCCCCTCCTCCCCTGGGGACACAGGTGTCAGGCCCAGCTTGTCCTCCGTGGTGGAACGGTGGAAAGAATGTGGGGTTGGACAGCTGTGGGTCTAGGCCCCGCCTCTGCCACTTTGCAGCCTGTGGCCTGGCTGGGTCCCTCCCCTCCTTGGGCCTCATCCCCGAGAGCACACTCTGGCCCTCAGCAGCCACTGGTGACCTCCCCATCCCGGCCCTGCAGAGACCCCGCGGGTGCCGTGGCCCACGCACAGGACGTCATCTCAGACCTGCTGTGTAACCGCATTGACATCTCCCAGCTCGTCATCACCAAGGAGCTGACCCGCGCGGCCTCTGACTACGCCGGCAAGCAGGCCCACGTGGAACTGGCCGAGAGGTCCGCCCAGTGGGAGGGGTGCAGGGCTGTCCAGAAATACCCCCTCCTGCCAGCTGGGCACCACTTCCTACAGCCCTGTCCGCCCCCGCCATCCCACCTGCCCTCACCCGCCCCGCCGCCCCGGTCTCCCCGCAGGATGAGGAAGCGGGACCCCGGGAGCGCGCCCAGCTTGGGCGACCGTGTCCCCTACGTGATCATCGGCGCTGCCAAGGGCGTGGCTGCCTACATGAAGTCCGAGGTCAGGCCCACCTGGGCTGCCCGCTCCGCCCAGCTCCCCTCTGCTCTCACTTCTGCTTTCCAAGCCCTGCGGGGAGGGTGTTTCCCTCTGTGGGCCCCACAGGGTCCTGAGAACCGCCCCCAGCACACCCCTGGGAGTTGGCTCCCTGATGCCTTTCTCCCAGGCCTCCCGTGCCCTCTGGAGGGCCCCCCCCCCCATAGTCTGACCCCTCCCTCGCTCCCCCTGCAGAAGAAGACCCAGCCTCACCATGCACATCACGTCTCTCCATCTCTCTCTTTGCGTGTCTGCTTGGTCCTTGCTCTCCAGCCCATAATTCTCTTGGATTCCTGTCCTTCCCCCTCCTACCCCAATGTCCAGTGACCTCTGATCCCCACAACCCCTTCCTTAGTCCCCAGTTCCTGTCTTGCCTCCTCATATCTTGGCTTCTAGCTTTCACTTCCAGCTGCTGTCCACCTTGGCACACCCCCTAAGCTGTGAACTCTGACCCTTGCTTGGGGTCCTGAGGACCCCCACCTGTGGATCCCAGCATGCACCACAGCTCATGGCCAGAGGACCCTTCACAATCTCGGGTGCCATCCCAGACCCGTGTCCCACCTCGATGCGGCGCCCCGGAGGGTGACCGCCCCCAGGGACTCCCCCCACACCACTGCCCACACCCACAACCGGGGGACCCACCAGCCCAGTGGCTCCCAGTGCCCGTCACCACGCTGCCTGCTGTTGAGCACAGCCCCTGGCCCCCGGGTGTGACCCCGCCTGGCCGCTCTGCTTGCAGGACCCCCTCTTTGTGCTGGAGCACAGCCTGCCCATCGACACGCAGTACTACCTGGAAC